CACCATGCCAAGAAGATAAGGAAGCTGACAGCTCTGAGGAATCCCAGGCAGGTTTGGGATCCAGTTTCTGGTTCCTGTAACTTCCTGCACAGCACAAAATGCAGGAGTCCAGCCAAAACAGAACCTGCATTTCTGGCCCAGCACATGGGAGAATCTCCTGAATGAGATGGCAGAAGGCACAGGGCTGAGGAGTAGTAGGGTTGCAGGTGTGTGAGCATGCAACATTTGAAATCAAGTGGAGACAGGTCCTTTCCCGTATGTGGGTATGACTCAATACTGAATTAGGAGCCGCCCATGCCACTGATGTTAATACCAGTGTTAGCTTCTGTGAGTGTTGCGTGTACAGGTTACAGCTGGACTTTTCTGATTTTGGGTACTGACACTGCAGAAACTGCACGCTTTTCTCTCCAAATAGACCTTATTTTCCTAACACTGCTGTTGTATGGATAAAACATTCATATCCATGTTTTGACCAGGGAGTAGCACTGAGAAACTGGGGCCCAGAGTCCCTGGGGGGAGCTAGGGAGTTTGGAGGGCAACTGTCACAAGGTGGGAGCACCATGGTGGAGCAGGTAGTGTACCTGCCTTCAGGGCTGTGTAACAGCTACTCGAGCTAGTGTGTACTAGAGGCAGAGAGAAACTGAAAACAAAGCCTGCACTGAAATCTATTGTTACCTCATACAGAAGTTCAAATGGAGTAATTGTTTGCAACATAGCAGTTCACCAAATTGTGATGGAAGCTGGCAAGTAGCATTGTAGAATGTTTTCAATGCACATGTACAGGCAAAGCAAGGAAATTTTTCCCCATGCATGGAAATCCTTGGAGGAAACTTTGAAGAAAACAATTTCTGCCAGGATTACCTCACAGAGTTTCACCTTTCACATTTATTTCTTTTGGATCATTCATCTTGTTTCCTTTCAGTATATGATTCTATAGGAATTTATAGCTTTATGCATTCAGCTCTATCTCAATGGCTTAATCTCAATGGATTAGCTGTATCATGAAATAACTGTAATGTAGGTAAAAATTATATAACACTACTCATGTGGTTCTGTGTGGACTTCAGGCAGCTCAAATTCAGACATCACTGCACTGCACAGTTATTAGTGTCAAGTTCTATCTCTTTCTTTTCCTGCAATTACCCCTCATATATGAGAGTTTGCATACACAGGTGTCCTAACAGCTCTCTACAGCATCTCTGGTGCTCTCAGTAGCCCCTGGGATGTCCCTCCCAGCTAGATGTAGGGCGGGGGGTCAACACAGCAGTGCACACTTGAGCAAATAAGAGCCCTCTGCAAAGTCATCTGATACCCCCTGAGGCTGAACATTTCTTTTACACTGGGATTTTAAAGAAAGCCTGAGGCTGCATTTCAGTTGAGATGCTCTAACAGCCTGCTGCCTCTGAAAGGGGTGCTTTTATCCCCCATCTCCTTCATTTTGTGTCTGGCCTTTCCTTCCATTCATTTATTTGGCTAATTACCACAAAAGATAGCCACCCGCTTTCTTTTTCCTAATAATTTTTACTCTGAGCTAACACACGCTTTCAGCCAATGGAGCTGGCAGATAGCACCAGGGGTGCGATGAGTGGTGAGGACCAGAGTGGGGGATGTACAAATAGATTCCTTGGCAGGGGCGACCCCGGTAGCTGCTCAGCCCGAACTGTGGGAGAGTCTGCTGCTATTTGAGGCACAGCTCAGCTGTCTCTGAAGCATCCTGCCCCCAGATCTGTGGTCCCAGCACTAGTGTAGGGCTCTTGGCAGTCTCCAGGGTGACCTAGCCATGGACTTTAACTGAACAGGAAATTTAATACTGCAGAAAAGATGAGCAGCTAGTTGTGGGGCTGGAGAAAAGCCAGGCCAACACAAGGGACGAGGCAAGAAAAGCAGCCAGGTCCAGTGCTGTGTCCAGGAACGCTGAACAACCACCTCACCTGTAGCTTCCCCCAGTCTTGCTTCCTAAGGGAAACCTACAACTGACTTTCAGAAGATGAGCCTAAAAATTGAAATACCTAATTCTGCAGACTCTGCAGACAATTACAAACTCATTTTATGCATTTCACAGAGCAATGAATGCTGTTCCACGCACACTTCAAGGTGCCACAGGGGCTCTCACGGAATTGCTTCTCCACTTGCCAGCTGGCCCTGCTGCCCCACCAGTAGGAAGCATGGGACTGATTAAGGGCTGAAGGATAAAATTCGTTGCAAAGCAGCTGTCCCCACTTAGGCTGCCCTGGAGCTTTGCTTGGGGCTAGAGAGGAGGCTGCAGAAATGTGGTCTTTCTCTCATCAGCAGATCACTTGATCTAGTGGGAGCCGTGCTTTTTCAACAAATCTTATCTCTGTGTGTGTAATTAGTTATGCAATGTTCAAAGAAGAGGATGATGCAGAAAGAGGAGCTTGCTAATGAGAGTAGGCCTAATAGCAGAGCAGATGTGTGATTGAGTTGGGGAGCCAGCTCTGACAACAGCCTTTTGGGGCAGAGTTGGCAAGGGTGGGTAGACTGTTAGCAGAGCTGGGCTGGGACCTTCGTTGATGCAGGTATGGTGCTTGGCCTCCAACTTAAGAAGAAAATAACTTTATTATTATTTCTTAATGTGATTAATACACTAGCTTGAGGGTGGAGCTGTGGCAGGGTCCTGGACTTGCTGGTATCAGTCATGCAGCACTAGGCTTTAAATGGGAACAGTTTTCTGAAGACATTTTTGCAGGTGCAAAACCTCCCTAAAGGCAGATGTGTACGTGACTCTTCCCCAGAATGCAATTACAGGGTGGAGAGTTAATTTGTGCAGCCAGAAGGAGAAGGTCTGTAATCCGTGTATCGTGTTTGGAACAGATTGATACCAGCTATCATTTTAAATTTTGGTGATGCAACAAAATGCTTTTCTGTCTGTGTCTTGTTGTAGGAATAACAAGTGTGTGCAACCATTCATAAGCTGCTCTTGTGAACAGAGTTTTATTATCAAAAAAAAGCAGTCAAATATTGTGAGTCATTGTCTTCCACCTTCTGCCCCACCCATCTCCCAAATTAGGAGTCACTTAAAAAGAGTTTATTAAGAAGTAGCTTTAGGTTCTTATCTCAATTGCCTTCTGATTGTTGAATCCTTACACTTCACATTTCACACTTCAAACTATATTGCTTTCCTGAAAGAACATGATGACTGTAACTCAGAGTTGAGATTTTTAAAAGAAGAAATAATGTATTTCCAAGGAAATCAGCCAGCCCCACTGGTTTCTACCTTATAAATTGTCTGAGCAGGTGCCTGGGATCTTCTTACCACCACCTCACCCCAATGCTGCGTATCTGGGCTCAGAGCAGTTACAATTCTTCATCCCAACAGTGGTGACAGTGTGGCCTCATGTCCCATGTCTGAGAAACCCCAATAACTGAGCTCTTTCCCCTGTGCAGCCAAAGAGTTGTCTGATGCTGATGAGAGGGTCTGGGTGATGGTATCTGCAGACACAGACGGCATTTGCCATCTGGAAGGAGAAAGTCTTAGTCTTCAGGTGGAAGAGAGCCAAGGGGATGAGTTGAACAGGAAAGAAATGCCTGATTATAGGTGAATGGTTCTCAAAGGGCAGAATACATGGTAGGATTAAGCCAGAGGTGAAGGATTCAGGGAAGAGCTGGCATGGAAGGGACTGCTGGGACAGCATTGTAACTTTATTACTATTTCTTTTCCCTCTGGAGCCCATAATTAACACACATAGGGAATTACACATGGTCTGCTGTGCCAACGTGGTACTGAACCTCATGAGCTGAGCTGCTACATCATCCCAAACCTCTTCTAACTCAAGAGAGCTGTCCACGCAGGGGCCCTGTTTAGCCCCAGAGTCCTTCCTCCTCCTGTGAAGGTGGGCCCAAGGTCAGAGGTGATGTCCCGGAGCATGTCTCAGGGGAGGGCACATAGCGGGTGCTAGCCCCAGGGATGTGCCCACCTCTGAAATAGTATTTTGGATGCCTTGGGCCTGCTGCATCCAGTGCAGGTGCTGTGAGGGAAGCACTGCAGTGCCAGCGCTGAATGTGTCCCAGCTGGGAGCGCTTCCACCTGGAGTGAGGGCAGGAGGGAGACAACTGCCTGCAGTAGGGGCTGCTCTGGGGCATGGTGGTCTCCCCTCCATGTAGTGCAAGCAGCCCCTTGAAAAGGGCGTGACACAGTTGTCACTCTGGAGGCAGAGAGGGCAAAGGAGGGTGACCTCTCAAGGCCCCTCAGCTGTTAGAAGGGCAAGGAGAAATGCCAGTGGCAGGGGTATCATGTCTGCCCTGTCCTTGTTTCTGCAGAGTGCTCAAAAGAGTCCTGTGGAGCTGAGAGGAGCGAGGATGACGGGGGCGTCAGGTGGGGTGAGGATGGGTGTTGTGTCCGATGTGGTCTCTTCAGCCTCACTCTCCATGTCCTCCAAGCTCTCGCTGACAGAGGGGATGATCTGCACCACCTTCTCCTGGAAGTGCACTTGCTTGCGTGGGGCTGGTGTGGCCACTGGTTGGGCAGGAACTTCCGGGGCTGGGCTTCTGTCCTTCCCGCCCTTCAGGATGCTCTTCATCTGGCCCAGCAGTGAGCGGTGCTGCTCCCTCTGGGCCCCGTGGAAGGTGTATGTCTGCTCAGTGTCACCAGCGATGGTTGGGGCTGTCACAGTGGCTGAAGGGTCCACATACTGTCCCGTCTGGGGATGCGTCTCTTTGAGCCCTGGGCTCTTCCTCCTCTTGCTCAGCAAGAAGTAGGCCAGGGCGGTAAGCACCAGCATGGACCCTAGGGAGAAGGCCATGTTGGCTGAGGGTTGGGGTGAAGTGAAGAGCTCACCAAGCAGTGCTTGGTCCAGCTAGCTCAGTGGTCCCCACAACTGATCCACAACCCCCACATTCCCACCCTTTCTGGCCCCAGACAGACCATGATTGTTTTCCATCTGCACTACTCCCCAGCCCGGCATGGACTCCTCACCAGGGATGGTGACATGCCAGACGAGGACAGGATGCAGAAAGCAAGCCACCGACAGCAGTGTGTACCCCAGAAATTTCTGGAAGCTCCCTGGGCATCTAGCTCGCTTCCAGCAGGCCTGTGACAGGGAGTCAGGCTCATATCTGGGGAGAGAAACAGAGGTCCCTGTGGGATGGGGCACAAAGCACATGGCGGGAAGATTTCACTTAACAATCACTTATCTAAAGATTCAGGTCCTCACTCTGGCTTGCCAGGAAACCACTGTCTTGGTCAGGGAAAGCAGGCAAAGCCTGAGTACCTCCCATGGGGAAGAGGTCAGGGACTACATCTGCCAGCAGTCAGCATCTCAGGCCATCACTCCTTGGTGTATTTGCTTGCGTGGCAACTTAGTCAAGTGACTATTAGCCGGAGTATGGCATTGCCTCTAAGCTATCAGGTCTTTTGAGTTTATGTTAAAGACAACCAAAATGTTTGGCCTCTGAGAAGTACATAAGGATTTTCAACATTCTAACTTAAACCTCTGTGCTGTCTCTGGGAGGGGGCTGCAGCTGACCTTGGGGATTTAGATCTTCCTTCCACCCTTGTGGATTCACCCTTGTGTGTTAAGCAGATGCTGCTGACTAGAGTTTTTCGTGCGGATGTTCAGCAAGTTATAGCACAAGCCTGGGTTAAAACACAGGTTTAACTGTCTGTGGACATGGCCCCACTTACCTCCCCGCTGCCTGAGTGCACTTGCTATGGCAGTAGGAGCAGGACCTTTAGTTTGGCACTTGCAGCTCAGCTAAGTCTGGTATTGCCTTAGGGGGCAAATTGCCCCAAGGAGGTCCCACCAAGGCTGGGAAGACTGGACAGGGTCTACTCACGTGAAGCACATCTCCAGGAACAAACTGATAAAGAAGAAGCCTTCACAGACAGTAACTGCAACCCCTGAAAAACTGAAAGGTGGAGCTGTCAGGGGGGCAGCGCTGGGCTTGAGTATGCTCTTCAGGTGGCAGAAAGGGCACAGAGAGCCAGGATTTATTATCCAGCTCACAACAGAGTCTGTGTGCTGGGGTCTGAACACCTCAGCTGGTTTGTTGGGGAGAGCTCAAAGCATTTCTGCCCCCACAGGGTTAGCCTGCAGCCAGTGTCACCTCTGGCCTGCCTGAGTCTGCGATAGCATGGGTGATGCAGTAGCATCACTTTCTTTAACAGAAATACCTTACCTATCTGAAACTTAAGAGATGGAGATCTGAATTCCCCAAATCCTCAGACACTGCTTCCTGATGCTGTTGCAGTCTAGTCCCATGCTACATATGGTGGAGGGATCAAACAAGTCACCCCACCAGCTCAGATATCAAGGGTAAAAATACTCACAGCAGATAGAAAGCCAGGCTTTTGAACTGTCCTTGCTGCAGAGTTTCTACGCCCACACCGATCAGCACTAGAAAAAGAAGTAGGTAAGATGCTGACTGCAGGGTCAGTTACCAACTCTCCAGTGCTCCATCAGCTCCCAAGATTGATGCCCCAGTTTCCCCAAGGGCTGCAAGGATGCTCCTCCTGTGCTGCGCAGCATGTTAGAACTGCCAGTTCCAGTGACTCGTGCTGACACACCAACCCAGAGGGATCAGAGCTGAATGCTGGCCTTGACATACAGACCAGAAACCTGTCTCAGCTGCACCCCTGTCATGGCAGCCTTGCGCCTATGTGGGCTGGGGAGAGGTGCTCTGGGGATACAAGCGAGGTTTAGACAGCTGAGGGAGGTGAGCAGTGTCTTGTTCCCTTCCACCTCCTGCCATGCCTCTTCTTCTCAGCTGCCAGAGGGACTTCCCTCCCACTGCTCCATCCACCTCTTCCCCCCTGCTGTCTGGGAGGCCCATCTCTGCCCAAGTCCCCCAGAGGCCTTCCAGCCTCTCTTCCCTGCCCCCCCTGCTCACCCAAGCCTGCTGCACCCAACGCGCGACTTCAGGGCAGCAGTGGCAGGACAGGGGAACCATGCCAGCTGCCTTCACAAAGGGCTGTAGCTGTAGCTGTAGCCATAGCATCGAGATCCTTTGCTAGCCAAACAGAAAAACATGTAACAGGAGCAGGCAGATTAAAACCGGAGAATGAACGTCCCCTCAGTGCCCCAGCCAGTACAGCACACTGGGGAGTCAGTTTAAGGGGGATTAAGAGTATTAGCAAGGCTAAAATCTTCCCTGGACTGGCTGTTGGGGGCCAGTAGCTTGAGGGGATGGAAAATGTCCTTCCACATCCTTCAATTCCCCATAAGACTATTTCCAGAATGGTGCAAACACAACACCGGCTACAGCAAGTTGGTTGGCTCATGACCAGCCGGTCACTGTGCACAAGTGCCAGTGGCATGAGGCTGCATGGAGGTCAAGTCTCAAGGCCAGGGCATCACTTTAGGCAGCCACTGCCTTCCTGTTGCACTTGAAGTCCACATCTCACCAAGCCACCCCTGCTCATCCACTGGTGCTCAGGAATTTCACTGCCGGTCCTGCTCAGTGCATGCTGGCCAAGGTTTGAGGTGCTGGTTGGCTTTATTTATCTGAGCTGTGGTTTGCCTCAGCTGGAGAGAGGTACTAGGCTCCCAAATGGGGCTGCAGACCGATGTCCGTCAAGCTTGTGAGGCAGATCAATGCTGAGGCTCTGTGCCTGAGCACACAGCTCTCCCATCCAGGGTGAACAAAGCCCCTCTGTGGTCTCCCTGTGTCTCCTGCAGCTGCTGGCCCCTGTCGCCCTGTTCCCCAGGGGAATGCATGGGGCCCATGTGTCACCCTTCTCTGTGGAAGCTGCCTCTCCAGCCCTGAGCAAAGACACAGCAAAATCACTCTCATCAGGGAGCTGCAAAACTGCATGAGCTGTGTAATCCTACATGCAAAGTATTGTTCTTTGCTATCTTGTGACTGAGAAGCCTTCTTTATAATCTTCTCTACAAATTCATTCATTCATCCACTCATTCCCTGCAGATGAAAGCAGGATTCAACAGCTCAGCTGTTACGCTCCAGTCTCTGCCCTAGATGGGGAAGTTTTCTGATTTTGCTCAGCTTCTGCTTTATCCTCAAATCTGTTTGGATGAAGAATCTGCAAGAAGAAAAGGGCTGTTTCCGAGGTGTTTGTTTGGACTAGTTGCTGCCTTGATTTGGATTTTATCCAAACCATGTGGCTAAAGGCACATGATTAGGAATTAAATGGTTGAAAGCATGAGAATTAAGAAATAAGTAAGGACTCCCTCCCTAGATGCAGAAATCACAAGGCCTAAAATCTCTGAACTACGGAGATGCCCCAAACACTGCAGCGAATTGCAGGGCTGTTTGATCACTCTTTGCGAAGTTGCCATGAGGCTCTGCCGATGTCAGGGCTGTCTGATTTCTCACACACAGAAACCCTGTAGCCCCACCATTGCCGACAGCCATTACACTCCAAGATCCCAGGGGAAGAGGAGCTTCATATCATGTGGGTAGCCTTCCGTGTTTGCAGGCAGCTTATTTATGGAGCTGGCCAGGCCTTCTCGGAATCAATTAGTGAGGCTGATGCACTCTCCTCTCCCTTTCATATTTTTTTCAAACAAAACCCATGGGATTCTCTTCTGCGTGGTTTCCATTTCATGCAGAAACCTCATACACCTCATCAGGCACTAAACACTGCATCAAGCTGTTTTCTTATTCCATTGAGACACACAGAGGAATAAAACACAGGCACCTCCCATTCTTCACTGGCCTTTTGGGAAAGTCAGGTGATACTGGGAATGCATCAGAACTATAGAAAAGTACAGAGATTGGTACTGCAGCTGTCTACGCTCTGTGATGCTCAGCAGAAAGATGACTGCATTGCTCATTTCAAGAACTACAGGAAGAGGTACAGATGATGCAAAATGTTGAAAAGAAAGCAAGCAGGAGAGAGATTATATTCCACTAAGTCACTTCCAAATTGTAAATTACTTTCAATTTTGCTGTTCTATCTTTAGTTTTCCCATGGCAACAAGCTCATGTTTTCTCCCAGGAAGGTCTCTAGGAGTTTCCCTGGAGCTTTAAGAGACAATATGACTAGTATGGGGTTCATGTGGGCCCAAGGGGGATGGGAATGGAGAACGGAAGAGATTTTCATTTTATGGTTAAAGCTTTGTCCCAGCTCCTATCTGTTGCAGTCTCATCAGGATGTGCACTATCTACTGGGAGTTTGTATAAACTCAGAGACTCGAATCTCTGCCTGTTATCAGTCCTTTAAGGCACATTCCAGAGCACAGCCTCCAGTGTCCCAGCTGGGCTTCGGGTGTCCTTGGGTACCTGTGCTCTCTTCAGCTGACCTGTGTGCTTTCTACTTTGCCCCTGACTTGAGAAAAATGTCTCTCATGACTGCTTGCAGTTGATAAAGGAAATGCAAACATAGGAGGGTCTGCTGTGACCTACTCTGCCATGTCTGAAATCTGAAATTCCCAGGGATCTGACACAGGGACCACCTCAAGTCACCTCTGGTTTACACCTCCATCCTTCAGCCAAATCAAGCACTTTGCGTTCTGCTTGACTGATGGGTAAAATGAGGCAGAGAGCGTTGCCTGTCCTGTCCCACAACAGCGAGTCAGCAGTAGTGTCAAAGTTAACTCCTGAGCCTTATGAGTTAGTTGTTTCCCCACATACCATCTGGAGGTGCCCCATGAGAGAGGGTTATTCATCACAGCTCAGTCCTTCTGGGTGAGACACTGTGCCTGAGACAGCCTCCATAACACTTGCATTTCACAGGAAACCAAGCACTCAGATGTGTCACCAAACCCAGAGGACACTGGTCCCAAGCAGCCCCTGACAGCAGGTGAGAGGATGCAACTAGCCAGGTGGGTGAATTTATGATGTTTGTACTGCAGCTATAACCTGAACTGCTTGCTGAGCCTGCTCCCTGATGGGTTGCTAGAGAGGCAGAGCAGCACCTTGGCACTACGGCTGGGGCCTCTCCATCCTGCCTGGCACAGGACACCTCACTGTGCACAGCACAAGTAACTCCTCCTTCATTTTCACATTCCACAGAGCAGCCTGGCAGTTTTGCACAGCAATGAGTATTTTGCTTTTCAGTCTCATTCACATCTTGCCTGTGCCCATATCTGCTTTACAAGGGTATATTTTAGGTTTCTTTTCCATTTGTGATTTAGCTTGTCCTCAGCCATACTGAGTTCTGGCTCTTCTTTTCTGATGTCTCACTATGCCTATGCATTTGGAAAGAGCCTGGCACTCTCCCTCAATGGGTTCCAAAGCAAAAGTGAGCAAGTTTCCTCATCCCCATCGTAGGATGGAGTAGGGGCTGCACCTGACCAGAAGCAGGGAGACAGCTCAAGGGTCCCAACACCTACTTAGTGCCTTTTAGTGGCAAAGAAAGAGAGCTCGCTCTTACCTGCTGCAGTGGAGATGCCCAGCAACCGGCAGGTGTACTCCAGGGCACTCCAAAATGCCTTGTGCCACATGGTGAAGAGATGAAGACAATGGTGCTGGCCAGGCAGATGCTCCTCTTCAGATGTCACGTGTAGCCCAGCAGCTCCCAGCTGCAGGCAGAGACTCCTGTGCCCAGGACCAAGTGACCTTCCCGAAGGAAAGGGCAGTGTGTGCAGGACTGGCCACCTCCACGGGGCCTCCCAGGGGAGGGTGGTCGGAGAGCAAGCTGCCTCCACAGGGAACCGGTCAGCACTGCTTCCCGCTGCTCCCGCAGGGGCTGCAGAGACTTGGCCTTTTCCTGTTTGCTTGCTGCTCGCTTGTGTTGTTGGCCCGGTGGTGATTAATAATTGGTAAGGGGAGGGGTGCGGCTTTGGGAGCATTTGCACCCGGGGTGCACGGCCTTTCCTGATCCCGAGAAGGAGGCTCTGGAAGCCCAAGCTGATTAAATGCATGTGAAGTCATTAGTGCTGTGCAGCTCCTGGCAGGTTAACCATTTGTGAGGAAGCGATGTTTGCTGTTGGTGAGACAGCGGCACGCTTCTGGCAGATCACAGGACTCCCAGGGCACCCCAGCGTTGCTGCCTCCCGCAGCTGAGCCCCCCTCCACAGCTGCTGCTCACTGTGCAGGTTTCTCCAGGCTCTGAGTAGTAGGGCTCAGGGGGTCCTACCGTTGTCTTGAGCACAGATAATGAATCTTTTAAGAGAGGCATAGAAATATGTACACATAGGTGGATGTATGAATTTAGTATTAGTAGCCAAATGCTCCATCTTTGAAAATGTTTCAGAGGAGCTCCTAATCAGGGACTATGTCCTTGAAGATTGAAACATCCTGGATAAAATATGTACCTATGTATAGTTCAGATTGTATGGTCAGCTTTCATCATGAAAATGATGTCCTAAACTGAAATACCCTCATTCTAATACTAAGATTCACACCCCTTAGGTAGGAGACCCCAGCCCAAGAAGAGACCATTCCCCTCTGAGCATGCATATGTTTTTAGTTAGGTAAGGAATATGCTATTTAAGTGACCAATCAGCTTTATCAGTGACCAAATCAGCTACCCCATGGGCTGAGAATTGTGGTAAGAATATGTATAAAGTTTGGCACTTGCTGGAAATCGTTATGCTAGTTTCATCTAGCATCCAAACTTGCACAACTTTGTTAATAAAACTGATATCCCATCTCAGTGTGTAAGATTAGTTAGTGTACACCGGGAACAAACTCGCACTTTGGCAACAACACTACAGACCCAGGCTGGCCATAGCAGGGGAGATGTGTATTTCTCTTCTTGGGGACCTCAGTGAAATTGTATTTCTGTGTTGTAGTCACCAAGCTGTTCAAAGGCACCAGAGCCATTTGGAGGGTACCACAGTCATGCCAGTGTCCTGACGCAGGGTGTGGGGTGCATAAATACCCTGACATCTTTGTATTGGATTTGGTAGACAGCTTGCGGGTTCTTGGCCTGTCTTTTCAGGACATGGCACCTCTGACAGCCCTAAGCATGTCTGAAGGCCAAGACAGGATAGAGCTGGCCTGCTCTGGACCCTGTTCCCACACACCTTTCTGCATGAACATGCTGCATCTTACCACTTCAATTCCCACCTGCTGCTGCCCGGGGAAGAGGCAGTGTCGGCATCAGCGCCTGGTCATGGCAGTCTCAGCAGGAGGGTGTGTGAGCAACAGCACCGTCCTGGCAGGCAGCACAGCCATCTGCTGCCTGCGGGGCCATGGGTTCCCAGGTCAGCGAACTCACCTTGTGCTGCGGCCAGTGTTGGGTGAGTCACCACAGCCCCTGCCCCTCGCTGCGCTTGCTGTGAAGCCAGCAGCAGTGGGGGCATGGGGCTGGGTGGATCACGCTCAGCTCACACACAGGCAGCCCTGAGTGGAGGCAATAACTGGCCAAGCCTGTCTCCTGTGATCCTGTCTCACCTGCCTGAACCCACGAAGCTGAACCTGGCCAGTATGTGTTGTATTGATGTGTCCTGGGGGTAGAGATGGCCTGGTCAGAGCTTTTTTCCACAATATCTTGGTCTGTATTTCAGGCTGAGGTTTTCTCAGGACAGAAGGGCTCATAAAATGGGCTCCTAATTCCTGTAAATATCTTCAGAGAGTGTTTTTCTGACACAAGGTTGTGGGTGGCAGGGATTTTGCAGCAGGCAATGCTGACAAGGTCTGGGGGCAGAGCATGTTTTTCATGTGAGCACTTTCCACTGGAGAAGGGGTCCCAGAGCATCCCAAGGAGCAGTGCTGAGCAGTGCAGACCCAAAATGTGTCTTTGCCTTTCAGCACTGGCACTGCATTTGGGTGTTCCTGTTTCCTCTTGGCTTCCTGCACCACCACGGGACTACGGGTTTTCCACAACTGATGACTCAGCGGTGTGTCACAACTTCCTTTTCAAGAGAGACACGAAGAGGGAAACAGAGGCACACCAGCAGGGAGGGTCACACGAAGGCTGGGGACCACATGGGTGATCCTTGTGCCCTCTCACAGCACATTGTTGCAGACTTCGTGAGCACCTTCTGCTTCCAGAAATCACCAAAGAGGCTTAAGAGCATTGAAGTCATGCAGACAGTCAGGGTGCCTTTTTTACTTACTGTCTTTGGGGTTTTTAGCATTGGCGTATTGAATTTCAGGTGTTTCTTTACAAACACGAAAGCTATAAAATGACTTTGCAAACATGTAGGTGAAAAGAAGATATGAGTCTTTCAGAATCACTTAGAGTCACAAGCTTAGGCTTGAAGAAAAGCAGCAAACACCATAGTGCAATCCTGAGTGCTGTCAGCACCCACCCTTCAGCAGCACCCAGCACCTCCCAGTGCAGAAAACTGCTGCCTCCTCCCATGGTGGGTGTCCCTGCTGCCAACGTGGGTAGTGCAGCATGCTGGGCTGTTACTCAGGAGTTCTTATTAACTGTACTGAGCTCTCACCCAGAAACTAAATGACTTTGTCTAAGTGCCCTTGACAGCAATGTTTCCTTTCTGGTAAGCAAAAAGCCCCAGGGTTTAAAACAAACATAAATTTATGGGGCAAGGTGGTGGTGGTGATGGAGGAACAGAATCCATTTGGGAAAGGCAGATTAATACATTAACAATTTAAACCTGTCTCCTGCACATGTTCCCTTAGCTATTGCCCAACCTCCACTGTCTGAGTGGGCCTACATCTGCCTTCCTGAGGGTCCTTGTCCCCAGCCTGGGGAGACCCTTATCCTGCGGTAGCTCTTCTCCACTCACTATTCACTGGTGCACTAGTGATCCTCTCACTCCAGTGCCCAGAGGGGAGCATGGAGTGAGCAGAACAGGTATCCTCAGACTTGCTTTGTACCAACACTCCTTTAGCAGCAACTTACATCAAGTTTTTTGGCTAGTGATCCTACAAAGCAACCCGATTTTTTGTGGTAGAAGGATCCCTTCTCATGTTGCCTCTGTTCAACTGGGGAGATGATATCCCCAATGAAATTGTGAGCAATTTGAATGTGTTTTTGTGAGGTTTTTAGGAATGAGTTTATGCAGTCAAAAAAGGACTGAGAGCATATGACCTTAGAGAGGTTTAATAGCCTGTAACCATCACTGGAAAACCTATGCACCAGCACAGCCTGTTTTGGGGCACATAATAACAGTGGTCCCCATTGCACATTAAGCCACCTGCCTTGCACAGAGTCTTGCTATTTGCACTTTGGCTGCCATCCAGGATTCACATTTACAGGCTGCTTCGAGTGATATATGGTTTGACTTGAGAGGACTTTATTTCAGTGTTTAGGGTTTCATGGTGATGTTGGTCATCATCTTCATCTCTCTCTCCTCACACTTTGCTCAAGCCATTTTGCTGTGGCACAGCCACCACGGCCATTCTTCCATGACCAAGGCCACAGTGCAGTGTCTGTGCTGAGCAGCTGTCCTTGGAATGCTGCAGGGGAGAAGCACGCACCTCGTGCCTCGCCTCTGCGAAATGGTGATGCTGCAAGAGTGCTGCGGTGAGTGGAGATTCCCGTCACAGGGTGTAGGGCACCACAAGCCTTGCTCTGGCAGAAACCTATGGGAACATGCTTGACTTACTCAGCTGTTCTCACTTTCTGTCCATCGTGTAAAAACAGTTCCCAAACTGTTGTGCTTTGCACGATGCTCTAGAAATTTGTTTCTGCTATTTCCTCCACTCCTTTTGCTAAGCTCTCAGGTATAACCACCACATCAAGCGGCCTTGCTTGGCAGCCTTGGTCCCCTCTCTGAATGGTAGCAGTGGACATGGGATCTCCTTCCACCAACACGTCCATCTGAGACAGACTGACAGCAATGCTTTTCCCTTGTCACTGAAGGGCAGGCAGCCAGCAGGCAGCTGCCCAGAGCCTTTAGAGTGGTGCCATGTGCTGCCTCCCTTTGCCCTTCTTCTGCCAGGTCACCTGTCATGGAGGGGAAATGGATTTTCATGACAGCTGGCTGATGGTAGGTGCACCCAGTTGACTGGAAGCATCAATTTGTGTGCTTCCAAGTGCAGCTGTAGTTTCACTGGGTACAAACATCTCCTTGTAGTCAGCAGGAGTTTAACTCTGCCTTGTATCACCAGTGATCCACAGCTTTCTAAACCAGTCTGAATGAATAGAGAGCATCATGAGGTGAGCTCGGAAGGCCTCCCTCCTCTTCAGAAGCAGGGAAAAACATGGCACCTGTGTGCCTAAAGCCACATAAACAGCAGAGCTGGAGAGAAAATCTTAAGTATGCCCCTTCCTCCTTTTAACACTATAAACGCTGGATCATGTGGAGTCTTCAAATCTGGGGCAGCACTACAAACCATGCTGGGGATGCCGGCAGGGGACAGCAGGATCCCACAGCTCCACTAGCAGCCCGTCTACTCCCTGCAAAAGGCAGGCTGTAGCCAGCCCTCTGTAAGGCAGTGATGAAAGGGCACCATAAAGTTTTACTGTCTGAATAAGAAGAGCATGAGAGACACCACATGGATCTGAAGGGGGTTAAGGAGAGCCCAGAGCCGCAGCAGACACGAATCAATAATGGGTCTGTTTAGCTTTATGCTCTGTGATCAA